TACAACGAATTCCAACGAATAGTTTGTGTCTACTTTTTTGATTTTGCTATGATGGGTCTCAACGCAGACATCGTGACAAGAATAGCTTCCTCGGTTCTTATTGTTCCACTTCCCTGACCGGGACAAGTGTTCACGTAATGATCAAACACCAGTGATGGATCGTTTCCGGAAAGAGTTTCATCAGACTCTAAGCTTGTCTCCAAACCTTTCAATCCTCCAAACACTACCAGTAAATGTCTGAAAACGCACAAAAAAAAAAAATCGATGCACGCAAGAATAATCTCAAGCAAAAAAGCAGAAATAGTGGTTCGGGATAAGAATTTATTAGGTCCGTGTAAAAATGGGAAATTATACTAGTTATTTGTCTTGCAGTAATTTTCGGCTAAGTTTTAACCCTTTAAACCATAACGTCAGTATGCACATTCTCAATACCGTTCTTCACAGACTTCCTAAGGTGCCGACAAGGATAATTTGTTTAATAATCAAGAGCTTCTTCGGTCAGCGACCATTTACTTTATTCTTGTGACCTTACTTAGGGTGTGCAATTCTTTCTACTGTCCTCAAATGCAGTTTCTCCATACTACCAGCAATTGTTGCACATGCTTAATAATAACTTTTTGAAAATCAACATTTGGAAACTAAATTTACCTAAAATTTGGCAGTACTAGATCATCTACGATGGTGCCCCTCTCTGAAGTTCCTATAGTGACATCATAACCATCTTTGTAAGGACTCTGGGTAAACACTGCTCCAAAAGATGGTGCCAGCCTCACACTATATCCCCAGTACAGGCCTTGCTCTGTTCTGGGTGCAGGGGGAGATACCACTGTACCAGTATAGAACTTTGTACCTGTTAAATTTTTCAGCAGAAAAACAAAAACAGACAAAACATCACCTTTTTTAATATACCTTTACATTGATTTGTCATTTAATAAATAAATAAATAAATAAATAAGTAAATAAATAAATAAAAATACCAAACATTACATTTATGCATTTTATACCCCCTGTACATTACTTTACTTCAGAACTGGCTAATTTGCCATAGAATTGAGATGACTGCAAAGCACAAAGAAATGCTGCATGTGTTTTTTCATGGATGGCTATGGATGTCCAGGTCTTTCAAGGGTCAATCAGGTTATAATAATTTTTAAAGAAAAAAGTTAGAGATGACATGGTCTAATTGCTAGTACCCCAAATTTTGAGAGAATCATGATTTTATAGAGGTGCTATTTACCAGGGTTAGTTGTGTACATGTACATGCAGAACTTTCATCAACCTTCTATAATGAAACAAAAACCAAACTACGGAAAAGGACAGATTTAAATACTATTCAGCCAAGCAGATATATTTGTAAAGATTAACACACCTGAAGTGTTATCCATCTTGACAGTGACTCTCAAACCTGGTTTGATGGTTCTATCAATCCTCACTTCTTTTCTCATTCCAACATTCACAGATGATCCATAACCTTTCCTGGCTGGTCTTTCAAGAACAACTCCTTCCCTATAAGGCATATCATCATCCACTTTCATGTGATGTGGAGTATCCAAAGGATTTAACAATCCTAAAGAGTAAATTGAAATCTTGTTCTTGCTCTGATGTTTAAAAAAATAGTATTCAGTGTGCTAGTGGGTAACAAGTATCATTATTGGTTTACTCAAAAGTAGTAATAAGCAGTCAGAAAGCAAACAAAACAAAACAAACTATAAGCAAGGAGGGGGGGGGGGATGAAAAAACCCTAAATGACTTCTGATTGGCCATTAGATTATCCTTCCAAATTGAGTCCGAATCCATAATGAAACAGAGAGAGAAATACTGGGTAAATGCATCAAAATTATTTCTGTACACTGGCTTGCTTGAAAATAGTTTTGACCATAGCTACATGTATAATGAAATTTTGTATCATGTAAGAAAAAAAGAAAGACGTATGGTAAAACAGTGTGTAAACAACAGTTCTTTTACTACAGTGTCTGAAATAAATTTAAAATATGGCTTTGACTTAACCCCTTTCCCTCCCAGAGGTGATTGAACATGCAATTTCTCCCTACAATATTCATACATTATCCAGCAAACCAGCAATGAGAATACTCAAATTTATCAGGTAAAAGTCGTTGGCTTGATCTAACACCAATTTCTTATAACCAATTTACAAGAAAACATGCAGCAGCTAGAGGGGAGAATATAAAACAATCAGATATTGGGAGTTAAAGGGTTCAAGTCTTATAATACTACACATGTCATTTACCTGCAAATTGTAAGTCACTATGTTTTGGAAAGAAATCTTTCCTGAGGTACTGAGGACATTCCAGATATTGAAGTATCCTTGCCAGCAAAATGTTGGGGTCTGATTTGCGATTTGGTCCATTGTTAGATTCACTCCTAGCTTTCCCTGACTCATCAAAGACAACAACTTCGTCTATACTGAAAACAGCTAGAGCACGAGCAATCTGTGGCAAAACACAAATAGTTAGATCGAATCACATTTGTATAACTCTTGGACAAATGTAACTGAACAAATGTACTTTGAACAGAAGGAAACACAACTGTTCCATTAATTTAAATCCTAATCAAGAATTGGTTACAGTTTTATCTTGTGTCATCTTGTAAAACCACAGCATTGTAGTGCCTGAAGCAAGAATTTAGGTTTTTAAAAACCTTGTCAAGGATTAACCAGGGTAGCTGTAAACCTATCCTTTACCCCACTGTTAAAGTGAACAAAAATTGTTTTGTATTCAGTGTGATGTTTAAGCTTCAGCATGTACCTTGGAAAGTTGCAACTTTGAGCATTACATGTTGCCTTTCTTCACACAAAATCATTGCAAACTGACAATATTGATATTGGCAAAATACAATGTCAACAGTTATATTATTCAGCGCAATTTAAGATCTGGACCTCATCATATACCAGGGTCCGGCATTATTTTCATTGATTCATTTGACACTAATGTAGTTTATTCTTATTTTTTGCATAACCTTAATTAGCCCACTCTTCTTCCAAATGCAGGACGTAAAATTAACTTTTTTTTTTCTGGTAGCCACTTGGCTCCTAAATATTTCAAAGTGGTAGCCAATTCCAAAAAGTTATACAGTCATACAAACATCAAAAATGAGCCCGCTAAATTTGCACGAGCTACAAAGAGGACACTAGAATGGATCATATACAACTTTATAGGTTACATAAATCTAAGATGGCGTCTAGTGATGATAGATTTACGTTCGACATCCTGCATGTGCTGGGTTTTGGAAACGAGCTTAATGAGGAACTTTGCTGCAGATTTATCTTTACAAATCTTCAACAATCACTAGATCTCTAGGTAAGGTGTGATTAGAAATTCTAGTCACCAATTTGGTGACTAATTTTCAGGATTTGGTCGCCAAAGCCAAAAATTTAGTCTCATTGGCGCCTGTATTAGGAGCAATTTTATGCCCTGAAATGCTTAATATACCCTTCAGACATACCTGGCCTGCTAAGTATGTTCTCAATTCTGGTGATTGTGCATTATCCAGGATAGAGCCTGGGAGGGCAAGACTGACAGTAAAGTGAAGACCTGAAGGATATCAAACAAATAACTATTTTCAAAAACTTTTAGACAGAGAAGCAGTATCAGGCAGACATAAGCACACTTATATCTGGTGAGAGTAGGAGATTTCTGTGCATTCATAAGAGTATCTCTTAGAGTAGGTTACAAGTGCTTTTGCAGTACTCTCCCTTTCTACAGAACCTAAGTGGCAGTTGTCAGTTCATCACAGGCAACCCTACTGGTTCATCTTGCATTATTTTATTATCAATTTATCATATCTTCCAGTTGGTATGTACTTTATAGTTGGTCAAATAAAGTGTACCATATTTCACTGTACAGCCTGCTTAATTAAAAGTTTTGTTTGAATTGCAAACTTTCCCCTCTATTCAAATCCAGAGATAAAATAAATAACTTACTGACCTTGTTTTCTCAGTCCATACAGTATCTTACAGTTAGGTCTGAGAAAACCAGGATAATTAGAGGAACGTATGCTGCTTGGTGGAGAGTGGTAGTGTGAAAGTAAATATTTTAGCGTCTTGCCCCTCCTCAAAAAAGACAAAGGACCCTTGCAGCCCTAGAACTCCCAATCTTTTGACCCACAGTACAACAATCTATGCACCTGCAGGGCTCGACACTAACAGTGGCCCACTAGCCACAAACTAGTAGAAATTCAGTTTTGGCTAGTGGTTTTTGATTTCCACTAGCCAGTTTGGCTAGTAAACAAACTTAACCTGTCGTAACATCTAAGATGTCACTAGCCACTTGGCTAGTAAGTTGAAAAGTTAGTGTTGAGCCCTGACCTGACAAAAGCAATTCCCACCTCTACCTTGTGAATCTGTATAACGCAAGTTCTTTTCTGACCTGTAGACCTGGTGCCATCGGCATCTGTTTTAAGTATCTTTGACTCTAAAGTGTTTTCTTGTTCTGAAGATGAATCCCTCTTCCTCTTCTCCAGCTTGTGTTTGGCTGAGATCAAGAATTATCCCAAAGTTAATTTTAAACTTCCGCAGAAAATTTGATGAAAGAAAATTTAACACCAGCCAGGACATCTTAGACTGTTCCAGCTAATTTCCATCAAATGATGGCGTCGAAAGAATATGAACAAGAACTTCCGTGCTTACAATGAAATATTTATTTTCGAAAATACTGTCAGTGGTGTCGAATGGAAGCTTGCGATTACACGTTATCCGACTTTGCCATGGCAAATCACGCCATCATGTTTACGTTATATTCAGACTCCCCGACAATTTTGCCTGATAACAAACAAAAAAAACTCACCTTTCTTTTTCATCTTCTTTTTGTGCTTCCCTTCTACCTAGAGATCACAACAAAAACAATCATATTTGAACTCAAGGGACAGCTTATAATTAACTCTGCCAAAATCTCACCTCGTCCGCCATCTTGGAAACTTTCGTGTCTCAAGGAATTGTGGTCTATTGACTTTACCGCTGACAAATAGTTCGAGGTTATTGCGGTTGCACATTTAGCCGACTGTTTCACGTGGGAATTCACAAGTCGAAATTTTGGCCCAGATTTTGAAGTTTTTGGATAATTTTTAGCAAACGGATGCCAGTAATCGAAATAGAAGCCGAGTGAGTGTTTTTATCTTTCTTTCCCGACCATATTAAGTCTGTATTTAAGCGTTTAACTAAATGTGATAGTTTTTAGGTTTCAAGATGGCTGCCTGAAAATTATATAACTCGTTTCTTTGAAAGTCTAAGTTCTACCTAAACTTCTGTCAGTCCTGGGTTTATACGATTTACTGTATCTTTTTCTTTAACTTTTTCTTTAGCTTTCTCTTTTAACCTTTAGTAAGGTTCAGTGGGTTTGATAAATGTAAGGCAGCACAATAAACTTTCATATTTATTTATTAATTAATTTAAATTTAATAATTCTTGCCTTTCCAGAGAGAAGCCAAGTTGGGCTGATTTGGTAGAGGAAGGGGAAGCAGGTAAAACACTTTAAAATGTGTTCTGCCCGTTTAGAATGCCTTGTTGTATGTGTTTTTCTCACTAGGAGGCTTTTGGCTCTTTCATAAGGGGTTTTTATGTTTTTGATAAAAGGATTTTTATTATTTTTTGACCATGGGGTACAAATTTATCTTATTTCTAAATTGGATGCCTTTGATGTAACTCATCATGGCAGTATTCAGAACATTTTTAAATAAGTTCTCTGTATTTTGGTAGCGGAATCAGGAAATCCAACAGTAAATTTGGACTAACTGGGAAAAAAAGATTGTTTTTCTTTCAGATCCAACCCAAAAATTCACCTATTTTTCCACTCTGCCTGGATCTCCAGTTTTCCTAAAGCTGTAATTGTGATCATGTCTCAACTTTTGTGTGACTGTATTTTCTTTTTAGACCACATACCTCCTTCAACAGAAGTCATCAATGGAGACACAAAAATTGTTACAGAATTTAAAAGAAATGAAGATGGAAAGCTTTTAAAGGTTAGTATCAGGAAAGAGAACATTGTTGTGTATAGAGTACATAAAATGTCACACACAGGGTTAAAGATAACTTTTACTGCCTCAATGCACTGATCACAGCTCAATCAATCTATTGACCATCTGGAAGAGTACTTGAGAAGATTTCTTTATAACCACATACTTCATTATGCAAACAGTTATTACTTGTATTGACTTGTAGAAAACAACCATGAAAACAATAGTTTACCTTTGGAACCAATGATTTGTTTTTGTAGTTATACAGAACTCTTGCCAAGTATAATGTACTTAAAAAGAAATAAAGCAATTTCCTATTCTGATAGTGCCCCTTAACCCTTTTGAATTTGTGTTGGTCACTAGAGATTTTTTGTGAATAATATATTTTTTATTTGCAGAATTTTTTTCAGAGCTGATAATTTTTCTTCCTTGATTTCTCTCTTTTAGATTGTGAGGACTTTCAAAATTGAAACGAAAAGAGTTTCCAAGACAATTGCAAAGAGAAAGGTAGCAGAGAATATTTGTTGATTTTTACATGTACTATGCCTTTAGGAAATTGCTTGCTTTTGATTTGTGTATTTTCATAATGCATATGTTGTAAATCAATTTTATACTTGGTTCAAATTTTATTTTCCTTTGTTCTCGGTCATGTTAATGTATGATAATGAGTTTGAAACAAAGGAAAATAAATTTTAAACCAAGGATAAAATTAAACTACAACATATACATCATGGTTCAGTTTTTGTTAAAATGAATTTTTTTTTACACTTCAGTTATGGAGAAAATTTGGAGATGCAAAGAATGATGGGCCAGGTCCTAATCCATCTACAACAACAGTTACTGATGATGTGTTCCTTATTCTTACCTCAAACAAGGAGGTAAATAACATTGCATGTAAATCTCTCATTGTTCACCAGTATATGGCTGTGGTAACTGTACATTTATGTGTCAGTTTATGAAAAGCAGCTATATAGCCTGCTTATAGGCACTTTCCTATTTCCTTCTTGCCCTTAATAGGGAGGCTTTCTATTGCCTTTAGCTACATGTGAAGTAAGAAACATTTAAGTTATTTTGATTCTGGCATTTTTTTTTTTCAATTAATTTGGTGCAAAAACTGTACTTGGTAGTTTTATTATTCTTCATTAGCGGTGCATCCAGAAAATGAAAAGTTGTATTATTGGGGTGTAGAGGAAATGATGTTGTAATTTGCGCCAGACAGTGGATCGTGGGAACAGACTGCCATCTGTTCTTTACCACGCCACTTGGTTGACGACAAACTCACTTCTGATCCTCTTTGGGACATGCACTCTAGTTGGATCATGTTTATATTGGGTGTTTAGAAATAAAGAGACCTTTGATAACTGATCAATAGCTGCAGTATTGTCAAAACTCACCATTGAGAAAAAAAAAACCATTTAGTGGGATTTACTTTTTTTTAGTTAACTTTTACCAAACTCCCTAGCAGATTGCAGTCAAATATTTATATTAAAAGGAAAATGTTTCAATCAATGCTTTTTTTTTCTCTAGGACCTTCAACAAGATAATGATGACCCGCTGAAAAAATTGGGTCAAAGTGCACAGAAGATTGTTCAGTGCCGTATCTGTAAAGGGGATCACTGGACAACAAAGTGTCCCTACAAGGATCAGCTTGAGGTGATACAAGCTCAGGTCAAAGAGGACGAAGCAAAATCTGCAGCTGATGCTGGTAATAAATTGGAATTACCCCCACACCATCTTGAAGACTGTTTTGATCAGTCTAGGTCTAGTCAGCTTGCTACAAGAAATAAGATGCCACACAGATTCTGCCTAAGGAGATGTGATTGTTTTTTTTTGTGTGAGAAGCTTTTGTGACAAATTGAGATCGTGGTATTTGTGTTGAAGCCTCAGTATGGGTACAAAGATAACATTTGTACTGATATGAATTAGTCACTTGGTTACTGATTGTTGGGTACTGGGAGTAAAGACCAAGTGTCAACATTATTTTTGCCTCATATATTTTGTGGCTTCAGCACACCATATACCATCATTTTGATTCTTCTGTCACATTCTGCCAGTGTGCTATTCATTGGAAGCACTTGTATGATGCTTGCTCACATTGCTTAACACTTTCATGATCCTCTATGCACTCAATGAAGAGTTTGTGGGTTAAATAAAATTCTTGTTAATATGATTTCTTGGTATATTCATCAGTATTTTCCTTTTGTGATAATTATAACCATTTATCCTGTATGCAAGGGAAGCACAGAGTAAACAACAACTTACATGTGTAGTGATGTATTAATTTTGGATTAATATTAACCTTCCAAGCTTTGGTTAACTGTTTAATACCAAAAAATGATTTTAAATCAGTCATGTAACTTTTCTTCTGTGTACGATACTGTAGGTTATCAGGTAAACAAGGTATGAGAGCAGACAAGCTTATCACCACGAGGGCATTCTTCTGATTCAACAACAAATTCTCGTATTTGATTTAAGAGAAAATTTATGGCATTCAGTAGGGAGTTTTATTAACAGGATCTTGAGAATGAATAGTTTGATTTTGAGTGAGTGAAAATTAATGTCTTTATTACATCCATTTTGAAATCACTGGTGGTCCCTGTAATCTGATTGGCTCTAATTGGTGCAATTTATTCACGAATTGCACCATTTTTTGCTCTAAATCACATCATTTTACGCTTGGCTGAGTTTTTGACGATGTCAGTCTTTCTGTTTTGCATACAAAATAAGATGTAAAAGCGATTCCGGTTCCACTTATTATTTAAAAACGGGCTCAGTACTGCATCAGTAAAATATTTGAGTTGACCAAGTCCTGTATTTGGGTGATTTCAAAATGGTAGTAATAAAGTGGTAATTGAACCTTGTGTCGTGCAATTTTGGTCTGAAATCATACTTGTGATTTCAAATCGAACTAGCGCTGCGTGCTTGTTCGATTTTGAAATCACGCATATGATTTCAGCCCAAATTGCACTCCACTCAGTTCAATTACCAGTATTAATTATTGATAATGCTGCAGGAGGAGCCGCAGGAGGAGCTGGGGAGCAGCCACAAGCATCAAAGACTGGAAAGTACATAGCACCAAGTTTGAGAGAAGGGGCTGGAAACAGGCGTGGAGAGACCATGCCAAGGTCACAGAGAGGTAATGTAATTTCTGGTGTTCAAGTGAATGTGAAATAGCCAGAAATGAAATATTTCTGCTGCAAGAGAGCAGTAGGGACTGCGCCTGATCAATGCATCATGGGACATGATGACAGATACGTAAGAGAGTTATTGTTATGGTAGTTGAATCACATGCAATCATGACTGTTCGGTGGTGGGCCAAAACTTCCAATATAAACCTAACGTTGTGCACTGTATAGTGGAGCTGAAATTAAACCTTTTAAGGGTTTACAATCAGTGACAAGAATACTTGGCAACTTCTTTTGAATTGAAAAGTTATCACTTATATTCAAAAGTGTCCCCTTTCTCCAAAAACAGTGTTGAACTCTGTGAAGTTAGGTAGAGAATACTTAACATTCATGATGGGAAGGGTGGGATACACTCTCTGTACTTAGTATTTTCAAGAGCAAAATCAATTTTCTCCTTCTTGACACCTCAGAAGCTCAAAAGCTAGGAATTAGCTGTGTTAGCTTGTCCTAAAATTTATGTTGCAAGTTTTCTTTAGATGAATGTTGACTTGACCTGATCGTCTTGTGCACAAGATAAGAGATAAAGTTGTATATTATAACTATTTATTGAACTTTCTCTTCAGATGAAACAGCCACAATACGGGTGACAAACTTGTCAGAGGATACAAGGGAATCTGACCTCATGGAACTCTTCCGCCCATTTGGACCAATCTCAAGGATTTTCTTGGCCAAAGACAAAAATACCAACCAGTCCAAGGTAGTGGCTCATTAAGTTTTTTAACTGTGTGTGAAAGTTTCATTTTAAGGTTGGGGATGTTGAGAAATTTCTTTAAAGGACTATATATCTTACTTGTAAAGCCACTTGTGGATGCAAAATTTATTTTTTGGCCTTCAACACTATCCACTTCTCATCACTGCTCTGGAGAATGCAGTTGCCTAACGGTCAGTACAGTGAACGCTGAGGAGTTAAGTTAATTATAAATATTGCACAGGATTGTATTCTATAATGTCATTGTATATTGTGTCGATTTCTTTTGTTATTTGTTATTTTTTTTTCTCTCGGAAAAATTAGTTTTTACAAGCTACTCTTAAATTCGAGAAAAAAAATAAAGTTTATGTTGTGTATGTAAGAAGTTCCAGGTTCAAGCTCTGGCCAAGTCATTGTGTTGTGTTTATGGGCAAGATATTTTACTCTCACAGTGCCTTCTTGGACACAGGAGTTAATACGGGCTTAGGTGAACAATTTACCCTTACACTGCCTTCTTCCACGTAGGAGTAAATACAGGCAAAGGTGGACTATCAAGAAGCCTGTGGAAACGCCAGTGGGTAACTCGTGGTTGAGTAGGATCCCGTCCAGAAGGAGATATCGCAATGCTCTTGCTTGTTTACTACTAGAGAAACCTGTACAAGTCCCAGCAAGGTTTTTAAAAAGAAGCTTTTTAAAAAAAATGTATTTAGCCATTGTGGGCCTTCTGTTCTCTTCCAGGGTTTTGCATTTATCAACTTTGTCCATCGTGAGGATGCCGCCCGAGCAATTCAAAGTGTTCAAGGATTTGGTTATGATCACCTTATCTTGAGCGTGGAATGGGCCAAGTAAGTTGATCTTTTGAAAGTCCTTGTTTGTGGGATGGTATCTATCGGTGTAAGATCCATGCCCCTTAAGTTACAGCTATACTGCGTACATGCATATGTTTCAGGGTTCGTAAGAGTTTTGATTTCTGGAAAATGGAAACTTTAGAATCAACTGTCGGCTTGCATAAGTGGATCATCGCTGAGCATAGGCGTACGGGGCACCTTTGGACTTGGGGGGGGGGGGGGGGGACGGTGACCTCCTTTCCCGAAAAAACACACAATGCCCGAAAGGGTAAGGGTTGAAATCGGGATGCAAACGGAGATGTTCACCATTTTCCCATCAAATGAAACTGCTATCATTGGAAGCTGTCAATAACTGGTGGTTACCAGCTGGGTGACATCAGCTCGTATTATGTGATACATTAATACGGAGATTAACGGATAGAATCGATCGAATAGAATAAACGAATTACTTAATGGAATTTGTGTAGTATTTACCTTTTGCCTTGTTGACCCCGACGGCCGCTTGACCTCTAGTCACCTAAGTTTTTCGCGTCTTCTTGAACCTTTCAAGTCTACGGACTTCACAACGAATCGAACGAACTTCAATGAGGAAACCTAAACCATCATGTGAACTCGTCAAAATGTTTTCCCACTCTCCGCGAAATTGGCGCGAAAATTAGGCACGAACTGCTGCAGATGTTACCGAAACAATATACGTTACATTTTACACCATATTATTCTAATTACGAAATCTCTGAAGACACCACTTTCGGGCATCTAATCACCTGAAAAGTAATTAACTAGAAACTTTACTCGCGACTTTTGGAAATCACGCCAACGGCATTATTTTGTAATGTTTTCTCCCAAATATCATTGCCCGAATCAAGAGCGTTTTGCCCGAAAAATTACATAATTTCCGCAGCTGGGGGGCCTACAGGCCCCCCACCCCCACGGCTCGTACGCTTATGTCGCTGAGTGTTAGTTGTGAGGTAGCTGAATTCCCAAAATTACCCCAGCCGTAATGGTTAAATGGTCCCAGCCGAAACGGTTAAATTACCCCAACCGAAACGGTTAAATAATGTGATAGAATATCATGTTCAGTCTTAGTGTAAACTGGAATTGTTTCTCTAATCAGCAATAACAAGTAACAAGTGATGCCTGTTATTTGTCCCATAAAAAAGGAAGAAAAATGAATAAAACGATATCATACAATTGTACTTTTCCTCATGCTAGAGTCACTTTTGAACCTAGAGAAGTGTTCTTTCAGCCTGACTTTTGTTTACGGATTCCCTACCCTACCCTATAGCAATTTTTGCCCACCTGAAAAATCCAGAGCCGTCTGACAATTTTTCACTTGAGTAGAAATATAAGACGTGTCTAAGATTAGTTGGTATTTTATTTTATTAAAAACTGGATCATTGGATAATGCAATTGAAGACTTTATTGGCTTAGCCATTATGGTATATGAGCCAATATACCATAATCTACAAATATGGTAAGCGTACGCGTCAGCTTAAAATTAAAAGGGAGCAAAAATATTGAACAAAATTTAATAAATTAATTTAACGTTTTTAATAAAACAATTATGGCACTCGCGTTTGTTGGATA